AGGGACGCTGAGATGGCAGAGATGGTATTTAATTACAGCTGCTCAATTCAGGATCAGAATACATTTTCTAAAAGTTGGTTGCCCTACATTTATAATTTAGTAAGGGCGCTATAATTGTCTACCCACTGTCCCCTGTATGTTGCTCACTGACATGTTATTATGGCCTGGTCTGAATCACCAGATCTCCAGCTGACTGCTACCAGCCATATTGTGACATGCTGTGCCTCTTCTGCCTTGAGCTCCTTATTTTTCTCATTTCCTGATCGCTAGCTGAGCCCTGCCTAAAAACAGAATATACAACATAACACACACACTTGTGACGAGAGACGAGGTGACATGTTTCACTGTCATTACCTATGGCATGAAGCACTCACTAGATGGCAGTGTAGTGCAGGCTTTTTGTTTGATGAGCTTGAATATTTGACCATAATTTTTCTAAACCTCTCCAGCCCTTGGTAAAACCTTCGCGGTTCTCATTCTGTGTGTGGCAAAGGGTACAAATAAATCAATAAGTGAGAGTTACGGCAGTTTAGGGAATACTTCCAGAGACACTCAAGGGTTGCATGTTTACTCAGCTAACTGCTAGAGGAGCAGTTTGACCTTTGACCTGACTGCGTGTGCTTTTTGACCGTGGATGGTCCACTGGGGTGTGGTTCAACAATTGTGGAAGGCTCAGGAAATGAATGTTTTATCAGCCTTTGCAAAGACAACAAAACATACTGGGTGGGAAACTAAGAAAATGTCTAAATTTAACCTGTAAGCCAATGCCAATTCAAATAACATGAGAATTTCCTTGTAGTTTTTTCAGATAGATTTTCCAGCCGGGAGTTGATGCCATTTTCACTAACAGTATAATGTCTGTTTATGGAGATGATAACATTAGGCAATTGCATTAGGGAAAATCAAAACGAGGACGCATTAAGACTGGGAGTGTGAATAAAAAGCTATTTGTGCTTTTGAGCCAACTTATTTGCTTATCGTTTTCATTGCACGCTCCTGTAACTCAATTTACCTTGAGATCATTGTTTCAGAATGCTCCCCATCTGGCAGTACAACCTTTGTAGTCACTATAGTCAGTCATTACCTTCATGCTCCTGATTTCTTCGCTTTAGCAGTACATTTCTGCTGCTAACAGTCTATGCAGAGAAAAGGGAGAGCACAATATCCCACTCATGCTATCTGAGAGAATATGTGGGAGGAGGTGATAGCGGGCAAACATTCGCTGTTAGCTAAGTCCTCTTCAACAGGCAATATTTAGACCATGAACATGCTGTACATAGATGAGAAAATCTAGCTAACAAAAGTATAGACTTGGTTGAGATAGGTTGATTTGTCTTAAAAACAACTGAGATAAGAACATGAGGCCTTTTTATATTTAGATACTGGGGGTGGATTTTTTTGCCCTCCCATTTTTCCTTTTTGGTCCTCTCCATTCCCATCTGCTGTAGAGCGTGGTCTGCTCAGAACCTCCTCTGACAAGTCCCCTAGCTTTCCATTTGAGAATAGGCAGCCGCTGTCACAGAAAAGCTAAGGGAGTTTTAGGAGATCAGAGCGGGAAAGCGCCGGTTGGCTCTCTTCTGGGAAAAAAACAGATGACCCTCTTCAAAGTGATAATGTAAACAGCTATCTGAAGAACTGCAGGATTTTGTGGGAGTTTGAGGCAAAACGTGAAGAATTCTTCCTCGGCAACCAAGCAGAAAAGGCGCAGACATCCCAGCAACAGTGTAAGTTTGATTATTATTCACCTTTTAATCTATTCAAGCAGAAATATACAACAGCAAGCATAAAAGGAATTGCATGTTTTGCCTTTGAAAGTATTCTAACATGACATTTTTTAGATTAGTAGATAAAGGCCTGACACAAACAGTTTCTGGATTGTTGACAGATTATGTTTCAACTGTTGCTACTTCTCTGTTATTTACGTCGCTTTGTAGAGATCAGAGCATAAAGTTTACTCACATCATGTTAGATCTTTATTGCTTAACTGGCCTGTCTGCAGCTGCATCATCAGTCTCAGCCACACTGCCCCAAACAGCTGCTTTCACTTAGAGTCACGACTCCAGAAACATTACTCCGAACAAGCATTTGTTGATTTAAGATGTGGGCTTGGGCAGCGCTGGATTTCATAATAGTACGAGGTCGGTGATGTGAATTACAGGCACTCATAAAACTAAAAAAGGCAGGTCATGACCCACACGCGCTCCCCTGGTGAAAATGTACGTTAGCAGTTAGTTTGCAATTAGCAGTGTTTATATTTTATGGATGTTGCGTTTGGTTAAACTCTGCCGCTACACTGCTACACTGGGTTTTTGCCAGATTTTATCACAAAGTTGCCTTAGGTACAACACTGAGAATTTAAATGTCTTAATCCAAACCATTACCACACAAAAATTAACATCTTAATCTCTCAACATGGACGCCATCCAACATCAACCACAGGGGAGACAACACAAACAAGTGAGGTCTGTCTCATTCCACACCACCAAGTGTTGTGTGTGTGATTATGATCGGGAGTGAACTGACGCACTTCTACAACCAAATGCTCTGAAGGCACTCATCCAACTGTAACAATGTAAATTGTTTCAGGTTCAAAGTGGTCTGGGTTGCTGCCACCCATCTAGCAGTGGGAGTGGAGCAGGTCCATTTTTAGCTGCAAAGTCATGATTCAGACAAAGGTTTTTAAGAACAATAGGATTTGTGTGTAAAATAAGTATGTGTAATAATATCTGTAAGTATAATAATATAAAATATAGTTGTTTTACACTTAGATTTAGTATGGATGCAAATGCTGTTATGTGTTGCTGTTTTTTCTGCATAATAATACTGTATTGATAATGCTAAACCTATTATAGTATCTATTTCACTGGGTTTATTTCATGTAACTTATAGTTAAGTGAGTGTTATTAAAAAGTCTGCATGTGATGTCAGAGCAGATGGCTGAAGTTAGATAGGCTGTTAGTGTTTAATACTTTTCTAGAGTCAAGCAATTTCAATCTTAGGGGCAGTCTTCAGTTGATTGTTTTGGCTTATGAATAATCAGTTATAGCTTTGTAGTATGATTACAAGGAAAGCAGTCTTCAAATTGTGCTGTGACCTTAAAGTTTTTGCTATCATTATCCTCAGTGAATAAGCATGCGGTGGAGGGCTGTTGATTCTCAGCTGACCAAGTATGTGCTGATAAGAGTGGTGTTAAAAAAGACAGCATAATACTTTCGTTTCCATGGCTACCAGGCTTGTAACGATCAGAAAGACAATGTCATATTTGTAATTGGCAATGATTTGGGGTTCAAAGAATGAAATGCACTTTGGTACAACATGTGGATCTACTGAGGAAGTGCAGTAAAATGCTGTTAACATTACAACACTCAAATGAAAGCAATCACAAATACGCTTAAAACAATAGTAATTTAAGGGATATTTGGGTAAATAAAATTTTATTGAAATTGTATATATGACTATGTTTTTAACTATTTGAATTATTATAAGACCTAATAAACCCATAATATCTCCCGTCCCACACACTACCATTACTCTGTTTCAATATTGTGCCAATAAAACTTGTGATAATAAAAATTTCTACAGTCTTTAAAAAGTCTTCAATATGGTGGTGAATTCTCTACTGTGTCCTTAGCTGTCACAAAAAAGTTTGGTGTTCATAATTCAAGTCTCATAACAATTTGAATCTAATCAGAATCTGCTTTGTGTCAATGCTGTTTTGAAAACAAGAAGTTTTCCTGGACAGCAGGTTCACTGCAGGGGTAAGATTGAAGAAGTGATGATTCTGACTTGAGGAGTCATATTCAATACAAGACCAGATAGTTTCAAGTTTGAGAAATGTAATTTTGGGATTCATTTTAAGATTATGCAGGCTTATGCATTGATTTCACTGTGTGCACTGTTGGTGTATAATGATATGCTTCTGTGTAATTCTAATACATTTATTTTGATTGATTTATGTGGACAGTATTTGTGCGAAAATTGCTGCCATTGGAGTTGCAGGGTTCTGTGACAAGGCACAAGTCTCCCTTTATCTGCAGACATCGATATCCTCCACAGTAATCGGTATGAAGGAGACGTCGACTAATAACCTCAGACATTTGGTCAATGGTTTCAGGATAGGCTGCTCTCGCTGAAAAGTTCAAATAGTCAGCAGGAATGTGAGAGCTATCAGGAGGAGGGCCATGATGCGTCTGTGTGTGTATGCAGACATTTAAGCCTGCAGTTTCAGTGGGAGAGCAGCCAGAAACAGGGAGGCACGGTTTCAGGGGTCACTCTGCTCCACAGCGAAATACTTCTGCTTTTCATTATATCCACCCATATGTTCACCAATGTGCTCCGCCTCCCAGACTCCACACTACTTCCTGGAATTGTCATGTCAGTCATAGATAGAGACCGTCCCTTGCTCTACAAAACTTTCTTTACTAAATTGAGATTTCTGTTTGTGATTAAACAGGCAATATTATGAATATTAACTGAAGGGGCTGAGAGAAGAGCACAGTGACTGTGGGAATATTAGCTTAGCTTGAGCTGGGAGAGCAGCAAAATGAGACCTTACTCATTACTAAGTCGACAGATGAGGAAACTCTAATGTCTGCACCAATATAATGTCCCAATAATGGTATTCATACAGATTCATGGGATTAAGTAATAATGGGATTGACAAAATGCATTGATACAGCCCTCCAAGATTATGCTTCTTGTATCTGTATCCTGTCCCTTCACAGATACAAGAAAACTGTTCCCAGGACAGAGGCTTGCTTCTGCTATAGCAGGACTAACTGTTTTTTTTTTTTTTTTAATCCCTTTTCAACTAAATCTCTTTGTTCTCAATGAAAAATTCAACTAAACAATGCAGAAAATATTAACTTGATATTGGTTACTGGCCCAAGCTTTTATCATAATATAGGTATCTACCATTATATATTTACATACCAGCGCATCCTTAGTTAAAATAAGTATATGTAATCTGAATTTGGTTCTTGTGTGATTTCTGTACTTACCCAAACGATGGCTTGCTTGGCTGTTCTTAGTGAAAGAGTTGGAAGACCAATATAGACAAACTGAAAAAGTGATAGTGATATTGTTATTAGTACAGTAGTATTGTAGTGTCAGTATTTGTTTTGGAAGAAATTGACCATGCGTTTGTCTCATTTCTGTAGGCCATTAACACCCATCAGACGTTAGGAATGTAATATAAGATCCTGGACAAAACGTCTTTATATAGAATAGAAAAAGTATGCCGTTTTGGCTGGTCAGGCTAACACACTGTGAATATTAAACCCATGTGTGCAACTATACCTGCAGTTGTCTATTGTGTGGTCCCATTTTGGTGAGTCAGACTGAGGGAGAGCAGCATTTGCACAACCTGACAAAATAATATAAATTACAGATTATACATAAACAGTCACAGTATGCTGTGTAATAGACCTATTCTTAACATTGTCATTTCTACTAAAATCTCTCCTTAAGTTCGCCTAACAGGATAAGTAACATGATTCTAATAATACAGTAAATACTAAACTGCTATTAAGTTAAAAACATATTGAAGTGAAGTTTGTATTACAACATCCCTGCAATGGCAATCAATAGCAATTATGTTATGACTAGTTTTTATATTGCCAATTTCCCAAGCTTCATTTATGGAAGCATTACAGTTTGGTTTATGACCTCTCTTTGCCAATCCAGCCTGAATGCATTACATCAACCATCCGTAAGCATGCCATAAATCATTTAACGAAGGTCAGCTATACTTTAAACAGTGTCCTTCAGTGGAGAAGAAATCAACATTCAAAGGTTGACTTCCAAATACCTGCAGGCATCTGGTCCATACAGGAAGGTGCAGTCAATCCATTTCCTCAGAAGATTTAGGTTCTCTAATATATGCAGTCACAGAGTTATTACCAATTTAATGTTTTATGCAGTAGTTTGTTAGGAGGGTGACCTGAAAAAGATGTATACGAAAACAAACAGAAAAATGCAATAAAAGTTTTTCTTCAGGGCACATGGCTGAATTGGAACAAATTTTTAAAACCTCGACATCAACTGTGACATTGTGCTTGACAGTTAAGCTTGTATTGCACTTAACACAGATTCCAGTCACATGGCACATCGCCTACAAAAGTATCATTATGGTCTGACTGCAACAGTAGATCTAAGGGTGAAATGGAATACAGTCTTCTAAAGGGGCATCTGTGTTACATTTCTTTCTCTGAACAAACATCCGCTATTTTAAAAAACTTTGAGCGCAGACTTCTTCAGGGGCACATATGAGCGGACTTTGAAGTACACTGTTTTGCTATTGCTGGGGCCTGGGTGATACAGCTTTGATGAAGTGCACTACTTAGGGGCTGTGGGAACAAGCAAGGCTGGTTATTTATGAAATAAGGTGTCGGGAGTTAATGAATCACATAGAGCGAGACTGAGGGGGAGAACGAAGGAATAGGCTTAAAAATCACTGAAGATTTGATTCAATACTTGTGAAAGATTTATAACTGCTTCCACATGGGCATGACCATACCCTGCATAGCCTACAAAAAACTATAGAGATCTCAAAGGTTTGCATTTTTAGTAGCTCAAACCTATACTATTACTAGAACTACTAAGATTGTAAAGACAAAACAAGGATGATTACAGAAATATTAACCACAATCCAAGTCAAAGTATCTGTGTTTTAGCAAATGATATTGTATTTAATTCAGACTTGTTCTCCACTATAGACCCTCTACATACATTTTAAAACTATTGACTCTTGAATCATGTTAAAATCCAGAAAAAAAAAAGACTAGGGTCAGGTCAGGAAGACTAGGACCTGCACCAACTAAAATTAGAGGTCCTGTATTACACCAAATTGACTCTTTTGAGCTTTTAGCCATGTTAGAATGTTGCTGCCTCATAAAAACATACCTGGAGTTGTGTTTAGTTTCATTTACATGTTTGAGTAATCCTTTATTATTAGTCTGTTTGTATCTCCAAAGCTCAAAATGCTCTGTTCCACCTTGTGATGTCATGAAGCAATAGCCATATTTTTCAAGTTAACAGCTACCCTTTAGCTTTAGTTCAGTACAGATTTGCAATTTATGGGCAGAAATTGTTCAGATGATTCTAGTGAAGGTGTACTGTGTATAATAACATAGTTAAGCACTTCCTGTATTATCATATCACAAGGTCGAACAGAGTGTTTTCTGTTTGAGAGAAGAACTCAGCCTAAATATGCAAGATTTGATTGTTTAAACATGTGTGAATGAAACAAAACATAACTCCAGGCAGCCTAAGTTTTGATGAGGCAATAACATTATAATTTAGATCAGAAAATAGTGTAATATGGCTGAGATTAAACTAGCCTAGGCTTATGGTGTAGCATTTAAGGAGGGTCAGAGGCTACACCAGGATAACAACGATGCCTAAATTAAATTCAAACTAGGACTAAACTGGGACTGAACTAAACCCAAATGAAAATATGTACCAGGAATCGCATAAAACCTCTATAACACCGGCGTTGCCAACTCCTAACTAGCTTGCGTGAGGCTAGCGAGAAGAGCACCCGTGTAGCTAAGGGCAGTGAGGAGTGGGCCATTCCCTTTGTCCCGCTGTACGCATGAGCCCCCGGTGGGTGGATAAGTGAAGTCACATGGGCCACTTTTCCTTTTTCCCACACAAACACACCCACATCCTCCGCTCTTTCCTCCACCATGCTGCTGCAGCCACTCTCCACTCCTCTCCAAGTCCGTTCTTTAGCCGCAACGGGCAGTCTGGTCCGGGTAGTGTACCCTCTGCACACGCCGCGCAAACTCTTTTAACAATGTGACTGGGGAAAAAGAAGGAAAGTATCAGATTGGCTTTGGTTTTTACTTGCTTTGTGGAAGTTTTTGAGCGAAATAGTCGAGCCTGCATCGTTTGGAGGGACTTCTACCGAGGAAGAAGTGCTTTTGGAGGTAAATTAAGAGTTGCAGTGTTACTTTATTTTTGGCGTTTTTTAGTGATGCCTGAAATCTCGCGAACTTTGAATCAAGTCGTAGGTTTGCTTTAACAATTTTATCCAGTTTTCTTTATATTTTTGTCTTTATTAGATAATTTGAGGATTTGTTCTATAGGCTAAGTTTTTAAAAGTTAGTCTCAAAATCTAGGCCTACTTAGTTCCCCTCTGCACCCCCACTTCCTTCCAGGTAGCCCACTTAGAGCAGAAGGTGTGAACTGTTATTCAAATAGGTTGATTTGCATGAGGCCTTCTTTGTTTACTGCTCTTGAACCCTTGCAGTTTCTTGGCTGCCGTGTGAAAGTGGGACTGTTTTCACACTGTGCGATGTAAATTTTCCTGTGTAAAGAACAAAATGTTAAAATGTGTGCTTGGTTCATCATCAGGGGGCAACTTTTGAAGGAGGAGTTGCATGAAGGGAGAGTGCAATATTTGAGGAGTAGAGTGGGCTCCTGTTGTTAAGTGTGTAAACTTATATAAAGATGATTTGAAAATGCATTTGGTTCACAGCATCCGTGACTAACTCTGAATCCATTCATATACAGATAAACAGCATCACCAGCAGCTCCAATCGTTAACATTGTTCTGTTCTCTTTTGTCTATTCCTGTAATTACATGAGTCATCCTTTTTGTTAAAATCACACGCTTTGGCTTGACTGACAGAATACAAAATAAGCCCTGATGTTTTCCCTTTTGTGCAGATTTCACAGGACTCCTTCCAGCCTCCGTGACAGTAACTTGGCAGCATGAGCCTGGTGGATGTAAGGCCGTCGGCAGCCTCTCTGACCCTGCCTCTGTCCAGCAGCAGCTCTAAAGACAGGCTGGATGATAGTGACCCGGAGCACCTGCGCAGCCGGGCCATGTCCCCAGACCTGAGGCAGGACTTTAACATGATGGAGCAAAAGAAGAGGGTCACAGATACTCCGGAGTCCAGTATGTAGCCTGCAGCTCCTCACAGCAAGCCTCCTACACACAGCTTTCACCACCTATGAGTAATAGCGTTGCTTTTAAGCCAAGACTCGGGACTGAGTGAAATGCCTTTAGATAGCATTTGCTCCTTTTTCTTTCAAGGCCATTAGAACGAGAGACATTTTACAGACAAAATACTTGTGGCTTAAAAGAACTACTATTTTTTTTACCATGTGGATGGGTTAAATATGCAGTCTGAAGGTCTTAGGTCCAGATGTCAGAAAAGGTGCTTTTTTCCAGTGAACAAAAATATAGGGAAATGACTGTGAACTGTTTCCATCCTGTATTTAGGCCTATCAAAAAAAGTACCTGTTATTTCAGTTTTACAGGGAAGCAGTTAAAACAATCTGAAAACCCTAACGCAGAGAGATAATAGAAGATATAAATTATCTACCACATTTTTGACTACACACAGTAATCCTGAATCAAAAAGTAGTCTACATATATATTGTTATACATACAGTTGTCAGTAAATCCAAGCTAATTTGTTGCGTTAAGTATGGTTAGATAATACAACCCACGGCATTGTACTGTAAGGGGTTTAATAAATACACCAATGAAGTGTATGGAAATAAGACGAGCCCACACTCATCTGATGATTGCATAACAGGCCCAACAAGTGGAACTTCATCTCCATGGGAACGGCGCTCGAAGGAAGCAGAATGCTGGAGCGTAGCTGCAGCACACAGAAAACCAGAGTCCTGTTTTATTGTAACCCACAAACACAATTCAATACTAATGTACAAGGACCAGAGGGAAGTCAGGGTGAATTCAGTCCTTGGCCTTGTGTTTTAGCAAGTCCTTTCACACATTGATAAAGAAGTTTCTAAGTGATTTGTGTACACTTGTAATAAGCTTCTTGAAAGTTTTAGAGGCTAGAGGTTGTAGTTGTTTCCACAGGTTGCTAGGATAAATGGTCACAGTTTGTGCCAGCTTCTTTATTGCACATATTAAATCCAGACACTCTTTTCTTGTTGTTTTCAGGTGTTTAAAGACGAACTTGAAGGCCTCATCCAAGATCAGTTAACAAAGGGCAACACCCCCACTGGTCTCTTGGCTTTGAGACAGATTGCTGACCTGGTCATGGCTAGCACCGTGGGAGGAGCTGGCCCTTTGACTTCCCCGATCAGTGAGTGTTTCTGTGTGCGGGTATCTACACTGCAAAAAAGAAATAGCTTTATAAGTTGAAATCTCTTGGACTCGGTCAGAATATTAATTAACTGTGTAGTTTTAGTGCTGTGCTTTTGCAAGTCTAGCATTTTGGATTAGTTTCAAGGTAGTTTCAAGGTCTATTTTCAAATAGTTATCCATCTTCATTTTTGAGTGCCTATTCCTATTCTCTTTTTAGTCTTTAACTGTGCGTTGCAACACATTATCCACATTATGAGACAAATAAAGGTTTTCCTATCTTATTGTATTTCTGACTGATAATATTATTAGCAACATTATCTTTCCAAAGAGTATGGCTATAGGTTTAGTAAGTTGTGCAATTAATTTTTACTTTAATCGCAATGGCAATTATTTCTCCAATCAATCACAAAAATTGTTGGGAAAAACATTAATGAAATGATGGTTTAATCTACTCTCACTTGTAAAACATGATAGATAAACATGACTCAGCACTAACCAACTTTTGAGAGCAACTAAATGAGATTTCAAATATGATTTCAAATATGAATATAGACTAATTATAATGATTTTCCCATTGACTACAAAGGAGTAAATTTATTTGAGCAGTTAAGAACTTTCATTTCATTGGCAAAACTATTAAAATCAAGTATACATTCATATTCTGAGATGCTTTTTTGCAGTGTAGCCCCCATCAGCAGTATTTGTTATTCAGCATGTAGCATGGGCCTGTTTTCAGTATCCACAGTGAATATTGTCATTGTCACAGCCCAAATTCTCAGACTCTTGTGACTGCGGAAATCACCACCAAATCTGCTGATAGTTCTTCATTGTCAATATTCTCATTTACTGCCCTCATGACCATCCATGGTTATTAATTACGGTCTTCTGTCTTCTGTTTTCATTTGAGCAGAGGTCACAAGCTGCTCCAGAGCATCCAACAGCCAGAGAGTACAAAGATTGTGTTCCCAGAATTCTAGAGTTTTGTCATTTCAGATGGAAGGAGGTCAATAATGATCACTTTTTGAAAGAAATATCCAAAACAAAAGAATGAGCATGTTGGAGCTTTTAATATTTTTGTCAGTAGTTTGGTATACATGGCCATACTGGCTTGTAAAAAAAAGCCTGATCCCATCAGATCTCAGAAGCTCAGCAGGGCTGGGCCTGGTTAGTACTTGGATGGGAGACCGCTGGGAAAATCAGGTGCCACAGTGGGGCGTCAGTTGTAAAAAAACTGTTGTTGTGTCCTTAGGCAAGGCACTTCACTCTCATTGCCTAGTATGAAAGTGGTGTGTGTGAGTGATGGTGGTGGTCGGAGGGGCCGATGGCACAGATTGGCAGCCTCGCTTCCGTCAGTCTGCCCCAGGGCAGCTGTGGCTACAGTAGTAGCTTACCACCACCGGGTATGGAGTGAATGAATAATTCTCTGTAAAGCGTCTTTGAGTGTCCAAAAAAGCGCCATATAAAAATGATGCATTATTATTATTTATTAATATTTGTAATATTAAAGATGCACTATGTTAACTGGGTCTGGGGGGTCTAGATGTTATCTACCTTGCATGTATTCAATTACAAGTCTTTTATTGCTTTAAAAAAATATATATAAAAACATGCAGTACATTGTATATTAGAGTATACTGAGAGAGGAGTCGCCTCTCCACAAGTCCAACCTATGGCTTGTTGGAGTCACTGTCTCTAGAAAGGTTGCGATAGATCAGTTTAATGTCACACTATGGAACTTTCAAAGCAAAGCAAAAAACAAAGTGCCAGACTGTCCATTAGAAAGGTTACACAGTATATCTTTACTCTTGTATTTTTAAGTCCTTTCATCTAGCAATGTACATGTGTTTGAATAATCCCACAACAAGACAAAATCATTTGTACTAACATCTTTAACCAATTCTTGTTTTATGTGAATAGGCCCAGCAATTGCAGCGTTATTATCCACAAAAATCATAGAATTGTAACCGAACCCCCTCATCAATGATAAACTATGGTCTTATATCACATGAACGCAACCTAATCTTTCTGTTTAGACCTGAAAAGCTTTTAAAACACTTGGATTGTGTAAAAGTACTTATATGGTATTGCCCTCTCAAAACAAACACATTTATCTTGGAAATTCTCAGAATAGCCATTTTTAAACTCCAGCTGCAGTGGCTTCCTGGGATGTTTTCCGACAGCATTTCGTACACATTCCTATATCTTTTTAAAATAGGCCTGCCCGTGTACAGCATGCAACCTCTAACTGTGTGTGTGGTTTCAGGTTTAGGCATGGTGACCCCCATCAATGACTTGTATGGCATCGAGTCGCCTTCATTCGTAAAGGGGGAGAAACTGAATCGCTGCAGGCTGGCCAGTCTTTACAGGCTAGTTGACCTCTTCAGCTGGGCTCGTTTTACAAGCTCCTATATTACCGTGAGTACAACAACCACAAACACGCTTGAGTGCATCTTATGGTGTATGGTAAAGATTTGTGTTTTTGAAAGGGATAAGCAGGGGGATGCAGCGCCATAAAAAAATCTATATATTATTTATAGTGCCAAGCTGTCAGGTTTTTGAATATGAATACATCTCCCATAGCAACAATTCGCCGCAGTGCAATATGCGGTGAACACCTGAGATGTCAGGATGTAAAGTAAAGATTGTCCCCGAAGACTAAGCCTAGAAAGTCGGTTATCTCAAACCACATGCTGATTTTCAGAGTGAAAGCTGTTCCTCTGTGGTTCACTTCTCAGTACCCTTGAATAGGTGAAGTGGTGGTACTGCTGTAGGAGCTTAGGTAAGTTTTAGAAGGAGAGTTTTTAAAGTCAGGCGGTCTAGTTTTTCACCCCTAAAGTAGCAGAATATTTATCATAGCAATATGCAGATGGGATGTGTGATTCATCCGATTTTAATTGTGATCCAGATTCAGTCGGTTTTTAAAAGTCAGTGATCTGCTTGGATCTTTTTAACTGAGAGGTCAGCAACCAATCCTCTGTCAGTAAAATAATGTGGTTTGGAGCAGAGTTAAAGGGCCCATATTACGCTATTTTATGACCTATGTTATAATGTTGTTTCCTCACCACAAACATACTTGGAGTTGTGTTTTGTTTCATTTATGTTTAACACACAAACCCTGCATATTTAGGCAGAGTTCTTCTCTCAAATAGAAAACATGTGGTATTACAGGAAGTGCTCCACTGTGTTTTTAAACTCCATACATTTTCACTAGAATTGTTTGGATAGTTTCAGTCTTGGAATTGCCAGTCTCTACTGAACCAAACTACATGACATCACAAGGTGGAACAGAGCATTTTAAGCTTTGGAGATGTAGACACACTAATAAACCAGGGTGATTGAAACAAAACACAACTCCAGGCAGGAGGTAACAACATTATAACATATGTTAATGCTCACAAGAGTTCATTTGTGTGTAAGATAGGACCTTTAATTCCTAAACTGAATATTTTGTGTTAAATGGTAATGAAAAATCATATCACATCAATTTAACACAAAATATATAATAAAGATATTTTATTTGTTTTTACCAAGACAAAGAAAAAAATCTAACTGAAAATAATCCCTGTTCAATAAATATGATCACCCAGCCCTATCATGCATACAATAAATAATAATATTTTTGATTTATGGCTAATGTTTAAGTTGTCTAAAGAACTACAGTGGCTAACAGTGACTCATTAAATCTGTCATACTGGCAAATTTTGATGGATGTTTATGCTGCTGAAACAATGATTATCAAATTAAATAAGTTTCGTTTGGCTAAACATATCCTCCAGATTCCAGTAGAAATGCTTTATCAACAGTTCACAATATTTTTATGAACCCCATAGGGGAGTGTGTAGGTCGTAGATTATTATATCTTTAACATTGTTCCTTTTTAAAAAAAAACTCACTTAAGGGAAAGATAAGCCAATATGGTTATAATTAATGTGACAATAACAAGTACTAGACTGACTTACTGTTTTTATCCTTAGCTTCGTGTGAGTAAGGAGCAGGACCACGTTCTCATCAGCCCACGTGGTCTGTCTTTTGCTGAAGTAACATCTGCAAATCTGGTAAGAACAAAAGTTTTGTTAATTCTAAAAACAATGTAAGAGATGCTGTCTACAAGATTTTTAACTAACAAAAAATTGATCTGATCAGTTTATAATAATTTTACAATCTGTTTTCATTTTAATAGCAACTGTATATTTTTTATATCTCTTTTATGAAGACCTTTTGGTCTGAAACTGCATTTGGGCTAGAATCCAATATTTCATATAAACAATATAAGATTATAGAATATTATTCCAAAGTTCAGGGCCTCAAAAACAGTCCTCCAAAACAACCTGTAAGTAGTGGCTGTCAGCCAGCGCTCTCCTGTCTGTAATTGTCTCCTTTGTTTACGTGAGAGGAACATCTTAGAGTGTTTTGCTGTCAGGCTGTAAGAGCTTACAAAGAAAGGTAAAGTACCTCAAAACTATGACAGGTGGCTCAAGTTCAAAAGCTACAGTGAACTTGGGTATGACTTCTGAAGAAAAGGTAAAACAAAAATGGTGGAGCCTGGGGCACATTCTCATCAAATGTATTCTGCAGAGACTTTAATGTTCTAAGGTAAAAGAGAGACAAAAGACACCTTCCTTTTTTAAGCTAATTAGCGTTATGTGTTTACAGGTGAAAGTGAACATCGTCGGGGATGTGGTCGATCAAGGTTCTACTGATCTCTCCATCGACCATTTTGGCTTTGGGCCTCATGCAGAGATTTACTCTATGCGCCCTGATGTGAGATGCATTATCCACCTGCACACCCCTGCTACTGCTGCTGTAAGTACCCCTAAGCTAACACTAAAGGCTAACACTAAAGGGACTTCATCATAATGAAAAGTTACTGTTAGGTAATTGTCACACTTAAGATGAAAACAAAATTTTAAAAGGGCATACTCTAATGGCCTACATTTTGTCAATATGGAATAAAACTATGCTTAAATGTCACAGAGTTAAAACTATCTTAATTTACATCCTGGTGCATCACAGTCTGAGTTGTTTTTATTTTCTGCTAACAGGTGTCCTCCATGAAATGTGGAATCCTGCCCATTTCCCAGGAGGCTTTGCTTCTGGGAGACGTGAGCTGTTTTGGTTACCATGGTAGCCTGGATAATAAAGAGGAGAAGGTGGAGTTTCAGAAAGCTCTGGGCCCTACTGCCAAGGTACTGTCATAGACACGGACTCCTTAAGTGCCGTTGTCACATGGGATAATAAGTTAAGATGCACCATCATTTGTGGCTGGTAAAAAGATTAAGCAGAGAACAATGACACCAATGCCATCTCCCACAAACATGTATACCAAACACTTATATGTCTGCCGCAGGATTTTGGTCTTTTGTGTGCTCATCATTTAATATTCTTCACATAATAGTGACTTAGTAAGTTTAGCTTTAGCTAAATTTGGTGTAAAGCATCTCTTCTTTTATGAGATGAATGTTTTTGCACATGGTCCCTATTAAAATAAATAAACTAAACTAATGACAAAATAAACATGACTTCTGTTCCTTAGTTCTGAATGGGATTTGTTAATGTTTTTTCTCAGGTAATGATTCTGAGGAATCATGGACTGCTTGCTTTGGGTGAGACCGTGGAAGAAGCCTTCCATTACATGTATCACTCCCAACAGGCCTGTGAAATCCAGGTTTGTCTTTCTGTAGATTGTATGTGGCATGTGGCACTCCAATCAGATGCTTTGAGGCTTGATTCAATTTCAGAATCATTGTGAAAGTGTAGCAGAATATTATATATATGCAATATGTGGATTCATATGGAATATGGACGAATGTAATAATTACAAATGCGAATACAAAAGTTGATTAGTGTCAAATAAACCATGAGAATACTGATTAGAAATGCTGTAGTAAAAGTTTTGTTTGAGGTAAAGAAGGTGCCTAAAGTCAGGTGAGACCTGGGGGATGGAGTAGGTGCTCCTGTTGCTTAGTTTCTGCCAGGCTTAGGACATCTTATCTTTTAATAACAAGGTAGCTGTGTCTGCATTGTGTTCTGATCAGTTTTTATCTTGGGACTAATGCACTAATGCAAGTTTGTTTTCTGCAATAAACAACATTTTCATTTATAATTAAACATGGTTTCAGTGTAACATATGACAGTTTTACTCTGTTTCTCCTGTTTAGGTGAGTGCTTTGGCATGCTCTGGTGGAGTGGACAACCTTGTGCTCCTGGATAGAGTGAAGTTCAAACCCCTGACGCAGGGCGTGGCAGCTGCTGGGGTGCTGGTGGAGAATGAGGTCAAATGGAAAGTGGGAGAGGCGGAGTTTGAGTCACTGATGAGGATGCTGGACAACTTGGTGAGTGAACCCCAACCTCTGCCCTGCTCTGTCATCAGACATTTCCTGTCTTTGTAGTTTCCTCAGGAAGCATCAGATTTAAATTTAACAAGCCTTTTTTGTACTAATACAAATAATTGTAATGAAAAATCTCTTTAATTATTAATGTATTTATTAAATATAGTGATTCCCACCCAGATTTAACCAGATGAATTGTGCTGTGGTTCCCATAAGGCTTTGCAGCATTCTCACTGTCCTAGCCACACTGCTAATGACCAGTATTTGACATGTTGTGTGGAAATACAAGATGTCAGAACAAGTCAGTTTGAGTGAGCTACTATCTTAACAACTGTGGCTGGAGTGGGCTGCAGCTGTGCAAGCTCTGTGTGATCACAGCCCTCCTGCCCTCCCCCCAATCATAGCTTCCAGATGGTAACGCCTGCTGTGGGCAGCACAGACCACACAATCTCTCTGTGAGAGCTGCACTGCACTAAAGTCTAAAAAGGCTTGGCATGTTCATAATGACAGCCCAGCACACTGAGAGCAAGTGCCAGGTACTCATCACCAGTGCTCTGTCTAGTCGGGACAATTAGGTACAGGAGGATGAGTGTAACTGATTCACAAGGAAAAATTATGCAGTACATCAGAGGGATATCTCTGCTGGAAAGTTTTTTTTTCCTATTCCCATTTTGTTTATTTGTGTTGAGACAAGCTGGTTAATATAAAATAAATGTTATTTCATGTATTTAGCAAGTCTAATTTTGGAATGAAGCGATGCAAAAGAAGACTGCCATAGTTAAATATACAATATTTACAATTGCATATATGCATATATTACAGGGAATAAATCTAGCAGATTTATGAAAAATGCAAACACGCTGGTCCGTGGTGATGATAAGTTGGGTATCACCTGTCAGAGCACAGTGAGCTCACTTCTGAATATGGCGCTTCACTGTCGATTTGAGAACCCACTCTGCTCATGAAGCTCCCATCAGTAGTTTTCAAGCTGCTTCCTACTGTCTTTGATGTATTGTTAACACTACTCTACTTTTAAATCAAAGTTTTAAAATTCTCCCTCTGAAACTTGGCTTGTCTGTGAAAATCCTGCTTGTATATACAGCTTTAAATATTTACTACTATTGTGTAAGTGCATTCTGGGTGGCCTGTGCATATCCACATTTAAATGAGGGATCTTTTTACACAAGATTTATTAGTTTTATGTTCAACTAGTTTTAAGATGTTCCCAAACAACCTTGTGGAAGATGTTTCTTCCTGTTTGAGTTTGTTATTAAAGTATAATATTTATTTTCTCTGTGTGGTCCTTTAGGGATACAGGACGGGCTACTCCTACAGAAACCCCATTGTCCGTGAGAAGCCGCGCTCAAAGAATGACGTCGAGATTCCTGCCACTGTCTCTGCTCTCCCATCAGATGAGGATGACCTGGGCCTATGCAGTCCATTGAAGTATATTGTGCAAAAACAACAGAGAGAAAGGACGCGCTGGCTCAACTCCCCTAACAGTTACTTAAGGGTCAACGTTCCAGAACACTCACCCTATGGAGATGTCAGCCCTAGAACCCGAACTATGGTCAGTCAAGTCTTTAAATGCTAATAAAGGTTACAGAGTTGCATTTCTGTTGACGTTCAGAATAGTTTTACTCAATATTTGTCTGCCCTCTAGAGGAAATGTTTAGGAATGCAGCTGACCATCTTTGTTTTGTTTTTTCTTGCAGTGGATGAAGTCTGCAGACCCAGGAAACAGCAGTGGGACTCCAATCAAGATTGAAGATCCAAATCAGTTTGTCCCATTAAATACTGATCCCACAGAAGTCATGAACAAGAGGAACAGGGTTAGTTGAGATTTGCATTACAACTAAAAAGTACTTGATATACAGTAAATCATTTTAATAATTTTTCAAATGTGCAAAGTTTTGTTTTGTTTTTGTAATTTTCTAAACTAGGACTTATACTGTGATGCCTTTTCTTTTAACTATATGGAAAAAAATGTATTTTACTACTCTACATTTGATCGTTTTATTGCATTTATATGATTTATTTTTAACAAGAAATAACACACAAATAGGTCTAATTAATTTTAGCTTTTAAATTAACTTACAAACAACTGCAATAGCATAACTGAAATTTGAATGTATTATTGGTGTACTTTTACATAGTTTGACTGTAATGATATGAATTCTCACAGATAAAAGAACAACACAGAGGAGACCTGATGACCTCAGGACCAAAGTCTCAACTACTTGCCGACATTGTGGTGGATACAATACCAGGACCGGTGAGTATATTTCGTATTATTAGGCAATATAGGTAATATTAAATCAAGTCTCATTTTTTGTATTGAAATTGCTCTGATATTCCCATTAGGCCTTCATTTATGAGGATGAAGAACATGTGCGCTCCCTACCCCCTAACCCCTTCAATGAGGTCACAGAGAAAGTGCTGGAGGAATACAAGAATCTGGTGGAGAAGAAAAAGCTGGGGCGAGAAGGTACACTGTTATCACATGCTATAGTAGTCACTAGTTTTATTGTATTATTGACATACTCTTTGTATTCTTAATTCAACCAAGGATTTACAAGAGAGTCTATACTGGTGCTACTGAAAGCCTGCATGAATGTGAAGGATTAGGTCGGAAGAGGCAATAGTTGTAAAACTGTGATTAATATACATTTCACTGCACCAGAGAGGCCAGACATTTGCTTATGTTTCTGAATCTACTCTGTAGCACATTATATAAAGAAAGAGTGTGCTGCAGAGAAAGGAAACAGTTAATACTACAAACAAGATTAAATTGAGCATTTGCTTATTTAATAATCCTAAAACAATAACACCAGAGTATTCAAATTAAGCAAAGCCATAAAATAGCAATAAATCTATAAAATACATAAAAATAAAAAAAAACATAGAGGAACACACTACTTGGTCACTGTTTACTGTGGGTAAATTAACTAATGAGTTTGATTAACACACAAGGAGTCCCCAACTACATGTGGATGGAGAGTGTGTAAATTTGACTTATCCTGTGTTTGGAAATTACAGTATAAAACATGTTTTACAGATGAGGACGATGCTACAGATGCAGATGAAATGACCACATTTGATGGCTCTACTATCTCCCTCTCCCTGTCCCCTATAATGACTCCAGCAAAAGGTAATACACAGCTCATTCACATTCACATGGAACACTCTGAGTTTATGGAAGATGTATTTTTGACGTGCTTATATCTGTTGCAGACATTATTCTCAATGGGAAGGATCACTTCACAGATGTAGATGAAGATCTCAGTATTGAGGTGTCCAAACTGAGCATGAGCACTTCAGAAAGTATGGAGGTTTCCATTACAACAAAAGAGAAAAGTGGAGAGATCCAGACGCCTGAGAGTCAGACCAAATCCAAGAAGAAGAAGAAGGGGTTCCGGACTCCTTCCTTCCTGAAAAAGAGTAAGAAGGAAAAGAAGGACAAAGAGAAAGAGATAGAGAAGGTCGATTCGTGAGGACATTATGTAAGCAGAAGAGAGAGTTAGAAAATGGAAGTCAGTGTGGAAAACTAAAATGGCTTTAGTTGGCAGCTTCCCTCTATTATATATCACATAAACATTTATTACAAAGGAAGCTAATTTATATGAACAGTTTCATATGTGGAAATACGTACGTTCTTGAAAAGGCATTTAAAATGAAGCCATGAGTTATTACTAGTTTTGTATCTATTGTAAATCTGAAAAAGTTCACACAGATTATTTGGACCTGTTAGCCTTTTGTTACTGTTTGCACAAGTCCTTATATGAATGTAATCTCTAAGCAAAAGAAAACTGTTAAACAATTTTAGCATCCCTTTATCAGTAGAGTGTACTAATCTATACTTATAGCCTTTTACAAAGTAAGATTTGTATTTATTGTTGTTACCTAAAATAATACTGTGTGTTGGGATTTAACACTAATGTTTGGTGAATTTACATAATTACTGTACTCCAGTTTATGTGACTTATTAATAATAACTTTCATTTATGTCCCAGCAATATTATTTGTTTGGTTGCTGCTTTCTGGTATTTGCAACACTGATAGTGGTCACATGAGCTGAAGCAATGCTGAATGCTTTAAACTTGAAGCTGTAAGTGTGAATCACAAATGGATCAGATTTGATCTGAGAGAGCAAGTGTGGAGCTGAAACTACAGCAAGTTGTGCAGTGAATTGTTTGTGTGTTTTATAAAACATTTAGGGGACCATCTTTTTGTATCCCTCTCAATAATGTGAACGATTTTGTTTTTGACCCAAAGGGAGTGAAATCTTTGTACATAATTAAATGTGAAGTTCTTTTTACACTAAACCAAATGTAGATGTATTGTGACAGTACAATCTTCCTTTATTCACTTACAAACTTATCCTGACACTTTTGTATTTAGCTTGATAAATCTTATTTACTGAACATACAGTATAGAGAGCACATGGTGTTTACATAGTGTATGGCCTGTCTAAGTCTAGTGCCTAGTGTTTGTATATCCTCTATTGTGTACCATGCTCTTGCCTAAGGTTCTTTTCTTTTTAATTGCAGCTGCCTTAAAACTGCCCACAGCTCAAATGTAATAATAAATACTGTTTTTCTTTAACGACTCCTTATATTTTCCTTGCTGTCATATAAAGTTAACTACAGAGTTAGAAGCGTATGTTCAATGTAGTTATTTTTGTGGTCAAGAAAATAACTTGAAATATCAACAAAGGGTTTAGATAATTGTTATTACTAATGTTTCACAGTAATATGGTGTACAAGCCAGTGTTCCCCCTGCTAGTCACAAGCCTGTATAAGAAGGCCTCTAGTGTAAATCATGGGAATGAATTTGTGAATCAAGCACAGATTTTCACAGTAAAATACAAAAGGAAAGGTAAAGAAGTGATTGTGTAGCAGTATGAGATAGGCTACCATGGTTGAGTAAATTGTGAAGTGTTGTTATTTTTATTCATTCATCTCCTTACAACTTTTTATCTAAGTACCATCTACTTTTTGCCCAGTCATCCAGGTAGAATCCATAGCAAAGGAGAATTTCAATTCAATTTCTCTCTCTCTTTTAGTTTTATTTTAGTGTATTATTCCAGTGAGATGAAACCATATTATGTTCTGCCATTGTGTATCAGTAACTTTGATAACTAACTGCTCAAGTTTATCTATAGTCTCATTTATATAACTCTGTGTTGTGGGTTAGTGCATTTACTTTTACAACTGTACTCAGACTAAAGTCTCCAGCATTGTTTACACAGCTTTACAGCAGAGGAGCAGGCAGCGTCCTCTAAAACAATGCTCCCTGTTCACAGATAATTGAGCGTGTGAACGTGGATAATAAGGCCTGTGCCATGATATGAATGGCTGTTGTCATGGTAATGCACTGAGTGGGGTTGGCGAGACAATGAGGAGATTTGGTGTCTCCAACAGGTGTTCAGGCTACACCTACACCACCCCCACCCAGCACACTTCAGAGAGGGGCTATGCAAAAGATGAAGGCTTCAGGGGTTATGTAACTACCATAGTCTATGGTAACTACAAGGGAAATGTCTGCTTCAAAAGACTAATTGCTTGAACTATAGGCCTACTAAACATTGTGATCTTACAGCGTGACAAAAGAAACAAGTGGTAATACATAGGCTAATAACTATAATTTTAATAGTTTTAATTAAGAATGAACAAAGATTTTATTCTGAACAAATTTATTTATGAATAATTCATTATGAAGTCTTTGCTCATTCATTGTTAAGACTGATTAAGGTGTAGTGGTAGTGCAGAGAAGTTGCAAAATATTGGAATTACTGTTGGAAAGTGTCATACTTAAGGCAGGAGTCCCCAACCTCCAGTCCAGCCCCAAAGCCGAGTCGTGGGTCATCTGGTACTGGACCCTGGACAAAAATATTATATAAATCTTTATTATTAAAAAAAAAGTAACACACCTTTAAGTCTTTCTTATTCTGTAAAGTAGTTTGCATTACTTTGTGTATGAACTGTGCTAGTGCAAATATATATATTATATATATATATATATATATATATATATATATATATATATATATATATATATATATATATATATAGTTATTATATTTTTTATAATTTACCTCATGCAAAGACTAAAGCTGCATTGCTTTTATTTTAGAAGTATTACATACAATATGACATAATACGTAATTCAAGATGTGCACGTACAATTAATAGTATGCAGAACTCAGGTCAGCATTTTGGCCCAGCCCTCCACAATATTTGTCTCATGTGGCCCCATAGAAAAAATTATTGCCCACCCCAGCTTTAAGGTATACCTGATCTATATACTACAGCTGTTAAAATGCAGGACACATATGGCCTCTATATAACACATCCTTTTAGAAACTAAGACACAATTTTACAAAGATGAGACATGACACAAGATTGGATCCACGAAAATGATAACATAATTTATAATAAATCAGTTATGCAGTTCAGAGCACAAGTTTGGCAACAAAGACTGCAAAACTGTCTTTGTAAACTGTGTCTAAAAATACAGGGGAAAAAAATTTAGTGTCCTGTGACAATTTTATATTATTTTGTCTTATCCCATCCATAAATAAAAGATTGCGTGAATCAAAGTATTCTCATTAAAAAATGATAATAGG